ATTTTCATACAGTTTTCATCTTCAACATCGGTATCCTTACCACAATATTATACAATATTTGTGTTTTATCTGTGTATGTTTTAATCGTATAATACTTTCGTTGATTCATTTATATCTTGTTATATCAGTTTTTATTTGCTATTGGTGTTTTCGGGAATCTGATATACTTTCTCTTCTTTTGTAGTTTTAGGGACTGCCATAATGTATTTAAAAACTTTTCTTATTTTGAATTAAAATTTTGATAAGGCCACTAGACATCAAGAAGTAAATATTATACTACATTCTATTTTTAATCAATGATGATATTAATAAAGATATTTTATTTGGTAAACATGTAATGTTATTTAGTATCATCGTAATTTTATTTATTATCATCAAATAATATATTGAAATTTTTGTGATAGGTAATACAGTATTAAATGATTACACAATATTGTACATGCTCTAAATAATAAAGTGTAAACATGCAATTGTAGTATTATGTAAAGATATGTTATGTTATTATTTTAGGAATATTAAGAATTTTAAAATTTTATAACACTTTATTCTACAAAATTAATATTCTTTTAAAAACGCGTCCACTTCTAACGCCTAGGTTGTTTTTCCTCTTATTTCCATAGATAGTAATATATATATATATATATATATATATATATATATATATATATATATATATATATATATATATATTGATATATCGGTTAAATTAACCGAACGATTACCGGTATAAGTAATCCCCCACCTGTTGGTCAACAGCTACGGGTGGAAGAACCGACACGTGGTAGGGCACTTCATTGCCCTGGAGCATAGAAATTAACTCCGAAGGCGGAAGAACTAAATTAGTCAACGGCATTGAGATGTGGAAAGCCAGGGGATGACTACCATATTAAAGATCCGTAAGGATATCCTTAATAAAAATCATCATGGATCCACTAATGGATAATTTACTTAATGATCATGGACCTCGGAATCCAAGATCCGGCAGGGGAGGACAATCAGAAATGGAACAATGTATTATTCTGGAAACAACGACTCCAATCACAAACAGGGAGTTGGCATTATAGTTGATAAGAATTCTCAGAAAGCTGTTTGTAACTTTATCCCCTACTCTGATCGAGTATTAATGCTGTCTCTAAACTCTCATTTAAAACGTAAAATAAATATAATCCAAGTATATGCACCCACTGCAGATAAGGATGAAGACACCATAGAGGCCTTCTATGAACAAATCGACAATGTCTTAAGGCTAACTAAAAGACAAGATATAAATATTATAATGGGCGATTTGAACGCTAAAAAGGGCCAAGGAGAAGTGGAGAATTGCATGGGGCGATATGGACTCGGGGAAAGGAATGAACGTGGCGATAGGCTTGTCGATTTCTGTGTCAATGAGGAACTCATAACTACAAATACCTAGTTCAAACTTCCTAAACGTAGACTATATACATGGAGGTCACCAGCTGACAATAATAACAAAATAGTCAGAAAACAAATAGATTATATTATCGTCAACAGAAGATATAGAAGTTCTATAATATCATCTAAAATTTATCCAGGAGTGGACATACCCTCCGATCACAACCCGGATTTTTTGTCGATGAGAGTGAAACTAAAGAAGGTCAACAGCCCTAGCACCAAGAAAATCATGGATACAAGACGTCTCAAACAAGACAACACATAAGCGGAAACGAAATTTAAAATAAACGAGAACTTAAGGAAAGTCAAATAAGATAATGCGGAAACTCTAACTATTGAGCAAAAATGGGGAAAAATTCAACATGCCCTTGTGTCAGTTGGAAAAGAAACCCTCAAACCATTTGGAGAAAAAACAAAACCTCGGATAACTCTAGAACTTCTTGAACCTATGGAAGAACGAAAAAACATCAAGCAAAAGACCTGGATAAAAACAAAGAAATTCAGAGAAACATCAGAAAGAAAATTCAAGGGGCAAAAGAGAAGTGACTCTCCGACAGATTCAAAGAAATAGAAGATCTGGATAAAAAGTATGATAGCTTTAATTTACACAAAAAAATCAAAGAAATGACAGGTTCTAGAAAAGGTACAAGAACGAATATCCTTAAAAATGATAAAGGGGATATTATTACTGATATGAAGGAGATATTATGTTACTGGACCAATTACATCCAACAACTATTTAATGATGAAAGAGAAGAACTGTCATTAGAAATCACCGAATATACCGGACCACCAATATTAAGAGAAGAAGTCATCTACGCCATAAAAAACACAAAAGAGGGTAAAGCACAGAACAATAGCTTTAATGAGTCACACACTTAAAACATTTTTGAAAATAATTCACGGCAGAATTGTTAAAACTCTTGAATATGAAATTATTATTGACACGCAATTTGGCTTTATAAATGGTATGAGTACAAGAGATGCCTTGTTCGGCTTGAATGTGCTGGCTCAGAGATGCATGGACATGAATCAGGCCATATATTTATGTTTTCTAGACTTTGAAAAGGCTTTTGATAAGGTTCAACATAAAAAGCTTGTAGATATATTAAAAGGCAAAAATATTGACAGTCGTGATATGAAAATTATATCTAATTTATATTGGAATCAAACTGCCAAGGTAAGAGTTGACAGCCAGTACACCCAAAATATCAAAATACAGAGAGGAGTCGGCCAGGGTTGCGTGCTGTCCCCACTACTTTTTAATGTCTACAGTGAAGCGGTATTTCAAGAAGCGCTCTCAGACTCAATAGAAGGTATATCTATCAATGGAGAAGTTTTGAATAACTTACGTTTTGCAGACGATACAGTAATAATGACGGATAACAACAATGATTTACAGAACGTAATGCAACGCCTTAATGAACGCTGTCATGAGTACGGACTGAAGATAAATTTAAAGAAAACTAAATGCATGATCGTAACTAAATCTGCACATGTAAATATCCAATTGACTATTCAAGATACTATTCTGCAAGATACTGCAATTGAGAGTGTTACTAACTATAAATACTTAGGAACATGGATAACATCAGATGTAGACCAAACCAAAGAAATTAAGACACGTATTGAAATAGCACGTACATAATTCATTAAACTTAAAAAGTTTCTTTGTTGTCAGGATATAAGGTTAGAACTACGCCTGAGAATGTTTCGATTTTACGTGAAATGTGGGAAGACGAAGAATATCCTGCAGCAATAACCATGATGATTTCAATCTTCGATAGAAGATGGAACTTAAAGAAGAAGATTGATAAATCAACTATTGCTAAACCGCAAATCTAACAAACTTTCAATATATAAATCTATTCTTTTCTACATATTACGTTACACCACACAATTATGATTTCTCTTTCAAGACTACTTAGGCATGGCTTCAAGGCTACTCCAGAAAATGTTCATTTTTCTATTTAATATCTGATTAAACGTAATCTTTTCTTATATTCTGCTTCTTCTATGATGCACATTTTTGGAATACCTCAAAATTGTTCTGGTCTGATAAAAGAAATTGTACCTCTTTCTTAGCACAGCTACAAGCAATCTTGTTACCGGCAATTCCTTTATGCCCTGACACCCATAAAATTATTTTGTTGTGCTACGTTAAAAGGAAGAATAAGGAAGGTTTCCTAACCCGTGTTTATAAAGTACATTATTTTCGGAGTTTATTGGCCCTATTCCGAATTTTTTTGTTTCTGGGATCTCTTGAAAACATGTTTATTTGAAACCAAGTGCGGAACACGCCAATAAATCCCGATAACAATGTATCTTTACAAAAACCGTCGGGAAAGCCTACATTCATGATAAAATGCCTGTACGGGCAGGAGATTTCAAGACAAGTTCCTCATCTAGAGGAATTTCGCAAGTAGAATCCACGTTTACTGGACTATCTTGTACTTTTACTGTACTGTAGAGAAAAAGAGTTTTTAACTTTCTCTACCTTGTGGATCGTACCCTTCTTCGTGAACGCATCCATCAAGCCAGACGAGAATTGCCCAATCAGTTTAGAAAGTTCTCAGTTCTCTTCGAGAACTATGTATATTGGAGTGACGGAATAAAATCTACCGGCTTACTGCCAAAACTATGGAAGCTACAATGGTATTCTAGTACTGTTCTGTATCTATTTTCTTGTGGCATCTTCATGCAAATTGTTTCTGTCTGTTTGTAGAGATTTGAACTTACCAGTGTCGTAGTAAATGTGTTTACAATTATGTAATTAAATTATAATATATATTGTAAGTTGGTTGGTTTTTAGTATATATCATCTCCAATATATATATATATAGTCATAATGTATAAAAATAGTCAAATTATAATTTGACTATTTTTAAAATATTATACATATTTTCCTATATTGTTCTGATATTGTTTGATATATTTGGAAAGCAATCATTCTTTCCATTTTAAAAAGATAAAAAATTGAGTGAGTCAAATTAAAAAAAAAGATGTATGTTGGAGATGTTACATATTAAAAAACAAGCAATCCGCATCATAGCCGATATCAAACGGTTCACGGTACGACACTGGCACAGTTTACTTTGTGTGTTTTATTAATCACAGACAGATAATCCAACAAAATTAAAAAATATGTATTTTAAGTTCACGGTCAGGAAATATATATATATATATTTCATAGATAAGTCTAAATGTGTGGTATAAGTGAAACACCCTATGTTTTCTACCATTATTAATATGAATATCTTTATACAGCCCAAAAGGTCTAATAAATTCATTTGTACTGTACCTATAATTAATTGACTAACACTGACAGGCCCCTGAATGTTCCATATATTAGGAATGTTCCTATCAATTTGCTAATAAAGAATTGTTGTTTTATTAATTAAATGTCTCATTAACTAAACAGTTTGGTTTGACCTAATTATTACAGTGAATATATTTTATTTTTTCAAAGTTACTTATAATTGCATGATACACTTTATAACTTACGATTACTTTAATAAAGAAAAACACTATTTCACCAAATGACATCAACAGACTGTTCAAATAATACATTTATTGTTCTGCAGAACTGCCATCAAGACCAAACCTCCGACCAGTCTGCGGTATTAATGTCAGGAACGATAAGCTCACCAACGATATTGAGTCCCTTACCTCCTTTGACACCAATAAATACTTTAAAGTCATCTGGAGGCCAACCCATCACTCTTCCTCCACCTAAACTTCAAAGAATTCCCAAACCTACTGATTCTGAAATCTCATCTCACCTACCATCAGCCCCGAAATTAAAAACCGAACAAAAATCCTTGGTAGGTTCTATGACCACCTGGCTGCCTCACAACGCCAAACTTATCGAAAATATTCGCCAAGTTAACGAAACGCCAAGCGGACAGGGCATCCACCGACCCCAGTACGTTGAAATTTTAGGGGGTAGAAAGTTTCTCGTCATACCCAAACATAATTTCATGTCTGTATCACCAACGGTAGCCACTTCAGCGGTAACCTCGAGGCCGAATGTAGATCCTATTAACATAGATTCCGCTAGTTTAGGTTCAGATCCTGTATCCGACATCAAAACCGAACCCGAATCCCCTTCCAAACCAGAAAATTCCCAAACACCGGAAGCTATGGAAGTTGAAGATATTGTCGAAGAAAACATTGGCGCTGATTCCGCTGCAGGAGACGGCGGAACTGGAATCCAGCAGGATATTAAGCCAGAGTGAGTGTTTTATTCCATAGACACGCACAATGAAGCTTTTTCCTACAGTTAATTGTATTTATTTATTGGTACAGAGTTAAAAACTATTGGGTTTCAAAAATGTGGAACCCTAATTTGTAGTAGTTTTTTAATTCAGCAACATAGTAGATAGTGACAATTTGGTATGATAATAATTGAATACTTAAAATATATAAAACTTAAAATTTAGTCAAAATTTTATCTGTTTTAGTAATATTAATTTGTCTTAAGTACTAGTTATGGTATCATCTTTTTCTCTGGGTTGGTTTTTAACAATTGTGTCTCAATCTTTTTATTTCCTCTTTTCTTGTCTATAACAACTTTTATTGTCGATAATTTCTCTTGTTGGTTTTATTGTTAATGAATATGAATATTGTATACGAAAAATATAACGGTGGGATAGAGAATCAAAGAAAAGAAAAAGAAGTGTTGGAAAATTACTACTACTAAAATAAAATAATGTGCATCGAGAATAAAAATAATAAAAAAAATAAATACATAATTAGAGCAGTATAGCGACAGTCTAGCTCGTATAAATTAGGAGATCCGATAGAAAATGACGTTTGATTAAAATGGATTTGAAGATATTCGAAAATAAATATAGAATGAAGAAAAAAAGTAAATAAATAAACTATGTTTGAATATGAAATAGTAAAGTTGATGGATGATTCCATATAAAAAGTACTTTCTTTATTTTTTCGTTTATTTTTTTTTTAGCTTTTCTTCAGCTATTTCGTTTACAATCTCAAGACGATTGGGAATTAATAACACCTATTCTACTACATTAATTGTATACTATTATTTACTTACCTCTCTACCATACAGTTCTAGTCACGTTCCCCCCTCGTATCTTTTGAACGGTTATTATTATAATAGTGAAATTTGGAGGGAGGTAATAAACAGACGTAGGCTTCTCAACTAGTCATAACAGGTGATGTAATAGTGACAGGTGACGTTACAGCGCCACTGTGAGAGATAATTTTAAATGGAACCTTTGGCAAATGATACCTCGTTTGAAAGGTATTGAAAATACCTATTCAGTCAATAATGTTGTTCGAGTTTAAGCTCATTTTGACGAATAAATTAAATAAATACTAAAATTGTAGCTTCTCATTTAATTAATAAATATTTAACAACCAGTTCTTATAGTAAATGTTCAAAATGTGCTCCATCTACTTCCTGACAGTAATGCATCCTATTTCTAAACTCTCGCGCCGTACTCGTTCAAATATGTCGGGTGCTGTAGCATAAACTTTAAATTTCAAGCATCCCCACAGAAAAATATCTAATCGTGTGAGGTCCGGTGACCGAGCTGGCCATTATATCGTACCTCGTCGTCCAATCCATCTTCCATGATAGTCTTCATCTAGGTAACGTCTTACTGCACCATAATGGTGTGCAGGAGCACCATCTTGTTGAAACGTTATTTCCAAGTTGCCGAATTCATCTGGATTATCCTCCAGAATTTCTAGTATTGACGGTTAAATTGCATTTTGTAACATCTCCAGAACACTTCACCGGTTAAGTTAGTATTGAGAAAACAGGCCCAACTATGTGGTGTCCCAAAATACCTGCAAACATTTTTTTTTTTTTGGAAATTAAGTATTGATCCATTTTATTTAGAAATTAAGTTTCACGAAAGACGTGAGGATTTGTGTCACTCCAATACCTCACATTGTGTATGTTAACATTTTCATTGAGAGAAAAAGTACTTTCGTCACTAAAACAAATTGTTTTTATGTAATCGGGCTGCTTGTTAATTTTATGGGAAATACATATTTTCACAGAATTCTAGTGTTTGGTTGGGTCATTATCTGAAAATTGGTGCACAATTTTTAATTTGTATGGATGAATTTTCAGTCAACACTCGGTGTACTATCCTTTGACTGATTCCATAGATAGATGCAATATGGGCTGTAGAAGAAGTAGGGTTTACTACCATTTCTGAAGTTATGTCAATTTTTTCGTCATCACTAATTGTTGGTCGACCAGACAGTTTGAACAGTACCTGTTCATTTTAACTTCCGAAGAAGCTTCCTCAAATAAGCTCTCTCTTGTAGGCGGTCGGAGTACCTCTCATTAAAAGACGTACCTGTGCATGGAAATTATTTCCAAATTCGCCAATTATTAACACAGCTGTTACTTTGTCGACTACAGTACGTACCATTCTGTCTTTGTAAAAATTTAAACGTCTCGTTAAACAATAATTAAACTAAATAATAAATAAGAACACTAACTAAAAACAACTTGATTAAACTTGAATTCACTAAACTAAGCAGAAACATAAACTAAATATTCCGATATAAACGCGTTTGAAAACTAAATATAACTAGAGAACTGACTAAACTAAGCAGAAACAGAAACTAAATATTGAACTATAACAAAACTTTAGCTTTTGCAAACTAAAAACAACTAGGGAATTGGCAAACGTCAACTTTTCTGACAAATAACTAAATGTAGACGTTATAATTTTTATTAATTAAATGCTAAACTAAAATTATAATATTTATTTAATTTATTCGTCAAAATCATCTTAAATCAAAACAAAATTAGTATGATTGAATAGGTATATTAAAATAATTGTAGTTTCGCATTTAATTAATAAATATTCTAACATTCGCCTCTGGTTGATTGCCAAAAAAGTTGACGTTGACCTAAAAACAATTAGAGAATTGAAAAACGTCAACTTTTTGACAGGTAACCAGAGGCGAAGGTTTTAATATTTATTAATTAAATGCGAAACAACAATTTTAGTATTTATTTAATGTATTCATCAAAATGAGCTTAAACTCAAATAAAATTGGTTAAAAAGGTATTTTCAATACTTTCCAAACGAGGTATCACTTGCCATAAGGTCCTATTTAAAATTTTCTGTCACAGTGGCGCTGTAACGGCATCTGTCACTATTACGTCACTTGTTATGACTAGTTAAGAAGCCTACGTCTGTTTATTTTCTCCCTCCAAATTTCACTATTATAAGTATAACCGTTCAAAGTATACGAGGGGAGAACGGACTTTTTGACTGTATATATGCTTAGAAGGTGCAAATCGATCTTACTGAAAGAAATGTTTTTCTTTTTATACATGTATAGATCCATTGTAAGATAAATCAAAAATATGACCTCTGATCGTGTATTATATGCTAATGTATTATTGTTTTTCGAAAATATACAAATAACTGTAGAAAAAACTTCTTGTGTGATGTACTTTGTTTTGAAAATTAAGATTGTAATTAAAAAAAAAACTAAATCAAATGTTTATATCAACTGCGTACATTTTATATTTCAGATCTTATTGATTTATCCATCTCCCATTTCCCATCTATTATTTTTTACCCCGATATTTGATGCGTAAACTATTTTCCAATACACTGAAATTATTTTATTTGCAATAGTTAATAATGCTTGTTTTTCAGATTCTAAAATTTAGCAATTAAAAATTTTTCGTTTTCAGCAATCATACCATTTGGTAAACATAAAAGCTTAAACATTTATCATTTACCACATTATATTTTTATTAGGTATGTTTATATATTCAATCAGAATATTTTACATTCTATAAGTTAAATTGTTGGTTTGGGAGCTGGGCTCCTCATTGGTGTGAGGAGATTGTATCCAGTGAAGCGGTCCTTATTTATTTTTATCAGCTGGTCATAATCTCTTCAGTTTTCGGATTTGCTGTTGACATGAGGGTTGTAGAAGTTAGTTGGAATAAGTTTCTATTTTTTTGTGGTATTTGGTATAACGGTCGTGCTGCGGTCAATTGATATTGTACATCTTTCGTTGACATATAAATCGCTAGGACTTCGGTAGATCTGCTATTTACCACCAATGCAAACCTGATAAAAAAAGTACGTTTTACTGAAGCTGCTTTACGGCGCTGAAGGTTCGCCTTTATGAGCATGATTTGGAATAGTAAGGCCTTTTGGGGCAGATACATAGTCCGCGACCGGTGTAACGGTAAATTTTTACTCCAGGGTAAAATTATAACATTAAATGTTTACTCTAGGGTAAAATTTTAACATTAGAATTTTACTCTGTGTTTAAATTTTACTCTTTTGTTTACTCGTTTAAATTTTGAAAAAAATCCTTCAGAAAAGATAGACACAAACTATTTGAAATTGAGGAAAAAAGTTGATACCTACCCAATACACGTGATCAGAGCAATCAAAAGTATGTACAAAATACAGATATCGCGATCAAAATGCAGTCAAACGACACAAAACCAATAAAAACAAAGCAATGACTAATACAAGGTTGTAGCATTTCATCAATGCTTTTTAAAATATCAAGGCAACTTGCTTTGATACAATATGTACTTTAATACAAAAAAGATGCAGGGAGGCAAAGTTGAAATTTATAAAATTATTTTTTGTAGTAAAATGAATTAAATAAAGTTTAAATATCTAGGGAAGATGACTACCACATAGAAAAAGAGATCTAGGCCAAGAAAGCTGCGGATAATATGAGTATTACTCTCCATCATTATTATTAAGATCTAAGCTGCTGTTAGTTGTGCTAATCTTAGCTAATCTAAGTTGTGCTTGATAAGTTTAATCCAGAAGAGCTGTAAGTGTTGCATGCTGTTAAGTTGGACTTAAGACCATTTGTGGATACATTTGGTTTCTGCGGGTTTATAGGTTTTCTAGGACCTAGTCGATGTTTGCTTTCATCTTCTATATATGTATTGGCAGTTCACTGTGGTTAAAATTTGGAAAAAATGTGGAATGACGTTTAGCACTAGAAATCATTTTGTTCGTGTGGATTTAGTTACTCTAGCGATAACCTTTTGTACAGAGCGCATTAGCTGTACTGGTAGCCATAAAGATAGAACGGGAGCTAACTTCCTATGTTTATGAATGATAACTTTTCTGACTAATCTCTCAGCATCTTTAGTTAAATGCTACAGCTTAATGTTCTGTATTACGTCACATCTTATCTAATGCATACCCAAGTATTTGGGTTAGTTCACCTCCTTGTGTTCGCCGTGGATAACGCTAAATGGAGTAGCGCATGTTTAGGCTTAGATATTTATGTATGTCATGACCACAACACACGGAACTGTGGCTTTATTCTAAATAAGCCATAAGAAGAAAATAAATTGAAATATAATAATAAATAAAAAAACAAATAGGAAACTGTTTTGAGGAATACGAGAAATGGGGATTAAAAATAAATGTACATAAAACCAAATGTATGACAATTGACGATGAAATCTAGCAAGATCTCGTTACAAAAAAATTTAATATTAGGAATTGCTCATGCTTCAAATACTTGAGTGTAACACTAACATCTGACGGAAAGAGCCAGCAAGACATTAAAAACAATATTGAACAAGGATGACGTGCTATTCGTTAATTAAATTAAATCCTTTCCAAGTGCCAAGATTTCAAGGCTAGACCATGTCAGAAATGATGACATTAAAAGAATTATGAATGTAGATGGTAATATAATAGAAGCAATATAAAAGAAAATACTGATATGGTATAGCAATTTAGAACAAATGAATGACACTATATGGCAAAAAATATGGATTTAGTCCCAGTAGAACAAAGGGAACAGGGTCAGTCACCCAGATGCTGGAAAACAAATGTCAAAGAATCAATGGATAAGAGGAGCCTCTAAATAGTTCCCCAAATTTGGCTTATGCTATATTGAATAAATATAGACATATTTTTCCGCCTTTTTACTTTCGCAATGATTTGTGTCATTTCATTATTTGAGAAATCGTCTTAGTATTGATCATCAGGATATTTTTATATTTCTGCTAAGTCTACATTTGTAAAATCTTTTAACTTGTTTGTTAAACTGATTTGACCATACTCCATAAATAAGCCAAACCATACCAAACATACGAGATTAGTTTATTTCGTGTCCCTGAATTTTTTTAGGTCAGTTAACTATATTCCTGAAAATAAACACAATTTATATGTATATATCTATATTTTGATCATATATTGTATTTAATTGTGCATCAGTATAACATAAATATTTATAAAACCATCTATTTTATAATTACCATCTCCATAATTTTTATTATACTATAACCTTTTTTATTAAAATAAACTTATTAATAATCTTTATTTTTAGGGTTGCTACTCCAAAAGCTCCAACTCCTCCCCCGGCTATTGTCAAAACGAAAAAACGTAGCATTAAATTAAGCAGCATCACAAGTTCTGAAGAAAAAGAAGAAAAGAAATTCATGGAAAACTACTTACAAAATATTTCTTACGGTTATAATACGTTGCTGTACATATTCCAATATTTAAAAGTTCAAGATTTATTAAGAGCTGGATGTGTGTGTACAATGTGGCGAGATATTGCTAGTCATCCAATGTTGTGGAGAACAGTTAGGATGAAAAATTCACAAGTTCATAGTTTCGAAGGCTTGGCTCATTCTCTTAAAAAACATGGTACTAGACACTTAGATTTAAGAAAAATGCTTTTGCCTACAGGGGGCGATGAAATCTGGCCAGCTTTCTCCGAAGCAATTGAAAAAGTAGAAACTTTACGAAGGATAGAACTATGTAGATGTCCCGCTTCAGTTGTAGAAAAACTAGCAACTTCAAATCCTCAACTGGAAATAATAAATGCTGTTACTATTAAATGCGAAACTATGAATCTCGAACCTTTAAAAGCTTTGACAGAGATTAAAGAACTTCGCCTTAAAGCTACTGGAGGATTAACTTTAACTTCAAACATTGATTCTCTGAAAGATATGAAAGAATTGCGACATCTATCACTTACTTCTATCAGACATTTGAATGAAATGAATCTTAAAGTTGTTGCAGAATTGGTTAATTTAGAATCTTTGGACTTGGGAGAGTGCACCAATTTCCCAGAAAATTTTGGTAGAGAGATACTTATTAAATTAACGAAACTGGAAAAATTGAGGCTCGAAAAAGGACAAAAAGATTGTCACACGTTTGAAATATTAGAAGCAGTTAGGCGAATGGAACATTTAGATCAGTTGGAGTTGGTAAATTTTGACATTAAAGCAGGCTTTGATAAGGCTTTAGGTGTATGTCAAAATATAAAGAAACTACTTATAATTCCAACTTACATTTCCCAAAGCGCCACAACCAATCATATGGTATTGGGTGGTGTATTGAGGTTACAAAATACCTTATCACACTTTGTTTGGGGTGTTACTTTGGAACTGTTGCGAGTTACTGAACTTTTTGTAGACCAATGTGAGGATCCCAAAGAAAAAAAGGAAAAGAAACAAGTAGGTAACGGTGACTGTATACCTGTTTTAAAACCAGTACCATTGCTGCTAGATAAGGATAGTGAAATTGCGCCTGCTTTGGAACCACCTCAGGTGGAAATTTTAGCCTTGCCCAGTTTACAAAAATTATTAATGCAGAATTTGCCCACGACGAGGGTAAAAATTTTGAAAATACCTTTTCATGCAACTTGGCGACAAAGCATTACTGATTCTGTGAATTAGATTAGGTAGGATATTTTCATTGTATATGTAACCTGGATATTAAACACAAGCTGTAGGATTAGAATCGTATAAATTGTAAACAGTTGACAAAACATTTATATTTATTCAATTACAGTTGAGCCTTCAATATCGACTACTGAGAGGAAAGGCATAAATTAGTCTCTAAGTTGAGGTGGTCGCATGACATTTGATCAAGATTTAATGAATTGCCTCATTCTCTTTTAAAATGTTACAAATCTGATTCTTTAACACTTTAAATTGTTTTAAAACTTATTTATTCTCCCAAACTCTTCAATAGCTGCAGTTTTTTCTTTCAATGATAACCATTCGTTTTGCTCGTAATTTTTTGCCATAATAATTTGAAATAAATTTGGAAATCAAGGATAGTACCTACATCAAAGTAAATTCATAAATTTTGTTTATCTACTAAGAGAACAAACCAAAACTGAAGCTATTGAGGAAGGTACTAGTTATGTATGTAAACATTCTCGTTTACATACATAACAAAACACAACACATCGTAAACAAAAGACTAATTTTTCTTTTAATTTTTTGAATATTTATTAAGTAGGATAAGTAGATCCTAGAATCCTTTTGAATGTTAGAGTAGTAAGATTAAGTATAAATCTATAATATATTTTTATCTGGCAGATATCCCAATACAATACGCGGTTTTATTAAGATGCTACGTCGTAATTTCCTCGATAAGACTACTTGGAAGTAGTGGCATACATTTATTGTTACATCAATGTGATAAAAAATATATTCTATACGTTTCCTTGAAATTTTAATATTGTATATCGTCTCGGGCGCTATTTGAAGGGCTCGTTAGTTTTAATATATAGAAAATTATAAGAATGTTTTTAGAGAATGAACCAAAGTGGTTGCTATTTAAATAGGTCGTTATTGGAGTTTCAACTGTATATTTGTTTAATTTAACGGATTATACATACATTGGCATGGTTTTTTTTACTGTTTAGTTGTAGTAATTCTAATAAATGCAAAATAACTAGAGATTGGGGTGTTCATTTTCAATTGTCACTATGTCATAAATGTAGCTAGTACGATAATAGTGAATTGCGAATTATTTTGAAGTAAAGGCACAGTTTGAAGAAAGTAAAAACTACATGGTATAATGCAGGTCCAGATTTTGAATCTTACCACTATAAAACTTCTTCGGTGCTGGCCGTCTAGGATCTTTGTACGTTTTTCCTTTGTACACACCTTGTGGCATTAATCGGTACTTGCGAGTTGAAGAGGATTTACAGTTGTGAAAATATTTAAAAGTTAAAAATCATATCTTGACCAGCACTATACCCAAAAAGACTGAGAAAAAAAGAGCAAAAAAAGGAAATGTGATTTATATAATGAGAGTTCAATCATGGATAGCGAATAGCAATATTACGACAATCCTGTCTGTTGATATGACTACCTTGATATAACAATTAAAAATTTATAAGGTGTTCACCAAAGATATTAATGCAAGCTCAAAATCTCTAATGGTTAGTTGTGACAAACATCCAAGTTTACTATTTTCAAGAAATCTCAAGACATAAATACATTGGAACCTAACTCAACAAACGTGCTTTAATGTTGATTTTGGCCCAATACGTTATGTATGTCAATAAATATTAAATATCTAATCTTACAGTTTTGTCTGTGTCCATAATAGTAGACTTAGTTTAGGTCTGTACCCATTTTTAACTAGTAGGTATAGATTGTTTAAAGTATTTTTCAATTCTAATGCTAAGCTTCTATTTGTTTATTTTTAAGGATATGTACATACTATGTAAAAGGTTTTTTTATTAAACTCCTTATAGAATGATTTTCAAGATATGAAACAAATCTGATTATTGTCAACTTTTTTATTTTATTAAAAGATTTAAGTTGTTTTTTTGTAAATAACTTGTTTTTAAGTAAAAACTAAAAATATAATCAATATTTCGTCTTTATTATAAAGCATCCGAAACATACCACATTTAAATCGATGTTTTAGTTTTCACAGGGAATGTAGTCTTTAAGAAAACAAAGGTCAACGTCATAGTTCAATACAATGTTTTACTATTATAAAAAACGTTTACAAGGACATCGACAACTTTTACTTGCAAATAAAAATAATTTTCAAAATAAAGCACTCTATGCCTTAAGTTGCACACATGCAGGTTCCAACACTGTTTAAAAGTATACCAAAATGTCACCGCGATATTTTTGGCACTTTGTTCATATTTATATTAATGTAATTTAAGCCATTAGATGGAATAATTTTGGTGTCTTTTTGAGATTATAAGTAACTCTTTAAATACAAAAACGTTTACAAATAAATATATAATTTATTTATTTTACATCAAAAGTCATGAGATACTACTTGTAGAGGACTGAAACCTGTATTGAAAACAAATGTTAAAATTGTTCTACGAATTACATTCCAAATTTTTTTAAAAATATATTTGCCAGAGTGTTGTTGGGCCACACGTAGTGCAGAATGTATATAAAGGGTTACATTTAGTCACAATGAAGTTATACTGCAGTCGTTAGAGACGAAAATGTCACTGAAAAAATCGATTTATCAAGAATATGTGTGCCGTAGAAAAAAAAGTGCCAAATAGAAATGTAGCTGAAGTAATTTTGAACAAAAATGTATTAGCACTTTTTGTGCAGAATGAACACTCATCTCAGAAACAACGCTTGAACCAACTCTCTATTTTGAATGCCAGTTACGGACACGAAATCAATTTTAAATAAAATTTGAATCAACAACGGTAAAAATTCCATATCTTTTCCTTGTTCTCTCAACAAAAATCAAAATGCTTTTTAAAAGAGAAGAGTGCAGCTTTCGTATGCAATTTTCCCGCAAATGAAGTAAGTTTTTATAAAGGTGTTAAATAAATAAACGCTACCCGATTTTTGCTATTTTTTACGATTCTCATGAGATCAAATTTATCACTTCTATTGACCGGTCACTATAGAATTTCCATTTTTAGAGCGTTATCTTCAAAACATACAGCATGAATTTTAACAGCAGGATCCAAGTAGGCGCTAAAAAAAAACGATAGAGCATTGAGGCAATGTTATATGATTCCTTTTTGCGATGGTTTGGTCGTACGTGTACATGATTAAAGCACCATTTGACAAAATATCTTCTTTTTCTGCCAATGAATAAAAAATTCTGCTTGTTCGTTGGTGGTTTAATACCTATATGGAAGGTTGCCACGAAAAGCCTCAGGTCCAGATGAAATATACGTAAAGATGATAAAGCTTATCAATGAAGAAAATCTTCAGACGTGAACAATATTATTTAACAAAATATATATCACTGGAATCTTCCCAGAAGACTGGCTTAGATCGACATTTATACCTATATCCAAGAAAAATAAGCAAATAGATGCTCATAGTTCAGATTAATTAGCCTCAGGGGCCATTTTCTGAAAAATTTACTCAAAATTGTACATCAACGAATATACAGAGAATGGAAAAGAAACCTGAGCGACAATCAATTTGGATTTCGTATGGGGCTTGGTACAAGGGAGGCATTATTTGGCCTCCAGATATTACTACAAAATGCCGAGATCAGCGAAAAGACGTGTTTCTCTGTTTTATCGACTACGAAAAAGCGTTTGATCGAGTAAAACACACAGAACTCTTAGAAACCCTAACACAACATGGTACAGACCATAACACTAGCACTTATTAAATAACTATATTGGGATCAAATGGCGTCTAGACAATCGTCTGACAGCAGAATTGCCAATAAAAAGAGGAGTTCGTCAGGGCTGTGTACTTTCTCCACTGTTATTAAATATATATTCCGAAAAGATCTTTAATCTTCGAGAATACGTAAACAACTTAGGATACGTAGACGACACCGTCATTATTGTGGATAGTGCTGAGGGTTTACAACGACTTAACTCTGTCATAACCAGAGCTTGGGACTAAATATTAACACAAATAAAACAAAAGAAATGGCTGTTACATGTGCACCAAATGTCGACATTAATATTCGTATCTATAACAAACATATAGAACAGTACAAAGATTCCAGTATCTTGGTTGCTGGATAACAAACGATCTTGACGACGAAGTCGAAATACGTGCTCGTATAGAATATGCTAGGTCCACATTTCAACGAATGAAAAAATTCCTAATAAACTCTATGTTATCGTTGGATATCCGATACCAATTTGTAAAAACGTTTATTTTTTATGTTTATGTTAAGAAAATGCTCCTGGTTGAAGAGTGTAAGAGACTCGACAGGTATGGACACACATTCGATACTAACAACAGCTCAAGATAGAGAGCAATTTGCTGTAGTTATAGCCAACCTTCAGTAATGGAGAAGGCACCTTAAGAAGAAGAAAGGATGGAAGGTTATCACTCTCATCTTTTGCGCGGTCGTCCGATACTTCTTTTGCCGATTGGTGACATCTCTTGCTATTTCTATTGTCTCCTCCATTCTGCTTATCGATGGCCTAGAATGAAAAAGTCGTAAGTAGGTTTTTACAAATTATACAGGAGGAACAAAAAACTGGTTATTTTGACCAATAATGGTTTTAATAAAAAACTTTTTGGTACCATATTAGTTTTTAGACTAATACAATGAAATTGATATTAAAAAAATCTTAATGAGTAGGCATTATGGAGAAAACCAAATTTTTTTTGGACTTACGACTTTTTCAGATAACAAAATTCTAGAAATTACCTGACTTACGATATTTTCAGATATCAAAATTAAAGAAGCCAGCCTCAACATCACATTAAATACATTTATTAAGAAATTATTACAAAGTTTCAGTACAAAATAAAACTAATAAAATATAATGATTATGTTCTATAGCTTTAGAAAAGAATTTATTTTACTCGTGTGGTAATGAATAATAGAAATTGTGCACCTCTTTTGGAAGGACACGTATTTCTTGCACGTGTCTAAATTTTATAGCTGTAATCTTCGGTTTGTTTTGATATAAAGGTGTGATTCGTTCCAAGTCTTCTACAAGAGGCATTTTAATTCTGCGTGGAATATTAGAATACTCATCTTCATAACTTGTCTTTACCTTTAGCTCCCCATTTGGGCAATATTGAATACATTTTATGTCTGTCACTAAGGATCGCCTGCTTTGTTACCCGGTCTCAGAGACGAGACATAGTTTAAACTACTAAATTTCTTGAAAAAAGTATACTCAAGCCATTCAACATTATATGGTTTCGGTTTAATTCTGGCAGTTCTACATATTTCTATGTAATTACTTGGAGAATAAATTTCTCGGTTCTGCAATTTTCTCTCAATAGTGGCATGCATAGCATCACATTCCATTTGTGTATGGCCCTTCTCTAAAATTTTTTGAGTAATTTTTATTCTTGTTTTGACAGACGCAAGCAAGAATGTATTTGCTAAAATTGAATTCCTATTCTGGTAATTACAACCGTCACTAAAAATTATTATTTCGTTCACGGATGGTGACAAATCAAGTTTTGTACAGATTAAATGAAATATTATAGAACAGAATTCGTCAGCATTTACTCCTCCTTCACTTTCATCCCACAAAAAACAATATCCTTTAGACGATTTTATATCGAATATTGTAAAATTGTGGACTTTTAGCTTGGTTCTGTAATAGAGTGCTGATGCCTTTAATACGGGACATAAAAGTACTGCTTGTAAGTACATTGTTAATACAATTTTACTGTTGTCAGAGAATTTATCTGCATTTTTTTCATTCCTTGCTAGTGTCTTGTTATTTTGGTGTATCATATAATTTTCTTCACTTTCATTTCCTAATTTGTAAGCGGTGCAAAGATCACATTGATCTTTTCGAGGACTAAACAATGATAAATTTTTGCTCTCAAAAACATCATCAAAAGTGAAAGATGAAGCCGGTTTTTGATTCATTGCATTGCAGTATGTTATATATTCACGATAAAGAGCTGCCTTTGAAGACCACATTGGTTCCAAATATAACTTTTTTGTTGATTTTCGACAATAATGCGACTCTACTTTGGGAAGAGCATCCAAAAAATTAT